TGAGGTCAAGGGGTCTGGGGGCTTCTCCTGAGGTTGGGGTTCTGGGGGTCTCCTGAGTTCAGGGGTCTGGGGGGTCTTCTCCTGAGGTCGGGGGTCTGGGGGGTCTTCTCCTGAGATTGGGGGTCTGGGGGCCTTCTCCTGAGTTCAGGGGTCTGGGGGGTCTTCTCCTGAGGTCGGGAGTCTGGGGGTCTTCTCCTGAGGTTGGGATCTGGGGGTCTTCTCTTGAGGTCAAGGGGTCTGGGGGTCTTTTCCTGAGGTCGAGGGGTCTGGGGGTCTTCTCCTGAGGTTGGGGGTCTGGGGGTCTTCTCCTGAGGTTGGGGGTCTGGGGGCTTCTCCTGAGGTCAGGGGTCTGGGGGTCTTCTCCTGAGATCGGGGGTCTCAGGGTTTTCTCCTGAGGTTGGGGTCTGGGGGTCTTGAGGTCAAGGGGTCTGGGGGCTTCTCTTGAGGTCAGGGGTCTGGGGGCTTCTCCTGAGGTTGGGGTTCTGGGGGTCTCCTGAGTTCAGGGGTCTGGGGGGTCTTCTCCTGAGATTGGGGGTCTGGGGGTCTTTTCCTGAGGTCGAGGGGTCTGGGGGTCTTTTCCTGAGGTCGAGGGGTCTGGGGGTCTTTTCCTGAGGTCGAGGGGTCTGGGGGTCTTCTCCTGAGGTTGGGGTTCTGGGGGTCTGCTCCTGAGGTCAGGGGGTCTTGGGGTCTGCTCCTGAGGGTTGAGGAGTCTGGGGAGCTTCTTCAGTATGGACCTTAAGGATGTCCAACAAAAACCAAACCAAACCAAACCCTTTGGATTTGTGGTTCTTCAACTAGATTCAACTTGGCAAATGTCTACCAAGGGCCATCCTGTTGCAGGCAGAGTTAAATGCAGCAGGGCTTTGGACCAGCGCTTCTCCACCGTGTGCGTGTCTCATGGCCTCCGGGAAGTTGGTGAAATGTGGGGAGTGACTCAGGGGCCTGGGCAGCCTCCTGCATTTCTAGCCAGCTATGAGTGATGTCCTGCTGCTCCAGGACCACACTGCAAGTGGCAGAGTGCAGCCCTTTGGGAGCCAGTGGGGGTCGGGTGGAGTTGGAGACTCTGCACTCCTGTAGACCTTGGGTGGGATCCCTGCTTAGGCACGGATGAGCTAGGAGACCCAGGCAAGGGGCCTGACTTCTCTAAGCCTCGGTTTCACTATGAACAGGGACCCATCAGAATTCACTGTGAGGTCTGGATACAGGGATATCTGCAAATGCACAGAGCCCAGGGAAGAAACGGGTCCCCCAGGAAAAGCCCATACATCCCCAGGACGCCCAGAACCTATGCAGGGCCTGGCAAGAGACAGGTTTTCTCCAAACCCGAGTCCCCATCCGAGGGCACCAGCATTATGGTCACATAACCATCAGTTATGGTCACATAACTAAAGGAAACCGTATTTATTTATGTTTTTGAGACAGAGTCTCACTGTGTCCCCTAGGCTGATCTTGGCTCACTGCAACCTCTCTGCCTCCCAGGTTTAAGTGATTCTCCTGCCTCAGCCTCCTGAGTAGCTGGTGTTACAGGCATGTGCCACAATGCCTGGCTAATTTTTGTATTTTTAGTAGAGATGGGATTTTACCCTGTTGGCCAGGCTGGTCTCGAACTCCTGAGCTCAGGTGATTTGCCTGCCTTGGCCTCCCAAAGTGCTGGGATTATAGGCGTGAGCCACCGTGCCCAGCTAGGAAACCATATTGAAAGAAATAAAAGATGGGCTGGGTGTGGTGGCTCACGCTTGTAATCCTAACACTTTGGGAGGCTGAGGTGGGTGGATCACAAGGTGAAGACATTGGCCGGGCGCGGTGGCTCAAGCCTGTAATCCCAGCACTTTGGGAGGCCGAGGCAGGTGGATCACGAGGTCAAGAGATCGAGACCATCCTGGTCAACATGGTGAAACCCCGTCTCTACTAAAAATACAAAAAATTAGCTGGGTGTGGTGGCGCATGCCTGTAATCCCAGCTACTCAGGAGGCTGAGGCAGGAGAATTGCCTGAACCCAGGAGGCGGAGGTTGCGGTGAGCCGAGATCGCGCCATTGCACTCCAGCCTGGGTAACAAGAGCGAAACTCTGTCTCAAAAAAAAAAAAAAAAAAAAAAAAAAAAAAAAAAAAAAACAAGGTGAAGACATTGAGACCATCCTGGCCAAAATGGTGAAACCCCATCTCTGTCAAAAATATAAAAAAACATTAGTTGGCCATGGTGGCAGGTGCCTGTACTCCCAGCTACTCAGGAGGCTGAGGTAGGAGAACGGCTTGAACCCGGGAGGTGGAGATTGCAGTGAGCTGAGATTGCGCCACTGCACTCCAGCCTGGCAACAGTGAGACTCCATCTCAAAAAAAAAAGATAGTATGATCAGTGTTTCATCAAATAATACCAATAGGTATTACTTTAAAAAGGAACCAAATAGAGATACTGATGTTAAAAAGCACAGTAACTGAAATCAAACGTCACCTGAGTGACATTCCCCTCCATTGCTCAGTTATGATGGGAGGTGATCTGATGAGGGACCGAGGGCAGGCTGGCACCAGAGGCCAGTGAGGGCTGCTGTGGGTGCCACGGGGATGACACCTTCTAAAAGGAAACATGGACATCCTCTGCCAGCCCAGTCTCTCAGGAAGCTCACAGACACCCTCCCACCAGCAGGGACAGGCAAAACATAACCCACAATCCATATTGGAAAGAGTCCACGTTCACAAAATGTCTAGAAGGTGCTGGCGGGAGGGGAGCAGGGCTGACTGCTCAGTGGGTGCAGGCCTTCTGTTGGGGTGATGAAAATGCCTGAAGTAGATGGAGTGGTCTCACAACACTGTGACTACACTAAATGCCACCGAACTGTACACTTTAAAAAATGATTATGCTGCTGGGCGCAGTGGCTCACGCCTGTAATCCCAGCACTTTGGGAGGCCAAGGTGGGCGGATCACTTGAGGCCAGGAGTTCGAGACCAGCCTGGACCAACATGGCAAAACCCCATCTCTACTAAAAATACAAAAATTAGCTAGGTGTAGTGGCACATGCCTGCAATCCCAGGTTCTTGGGAGGCTGAGGCACAAGAATTGCTTGAACCAGGGAGGTGGAGGTTGCAATGAGTTGAGTTCACACCACGGCACTCCAGCCTGCCTCAAAAAACAAAAAACAAAAAAAGGTTATGTGAATTTCACAATTTAAAAAATGTTCTTGGCTTTTTTCTTAAAGCATTTTGAGTGTCTCATCTCCACCTTCAGCCTATTTTTTTTTTTTCTGATGAGAAGCCAGAAAAAATATCTGACTTAATCAGGTTTAAAAAAATCTCGATCTCATGGGGGTTCTCGTACGTGATGAGTCATTCTTCCCCGGCTGCTCTGAAGTTTGTCACTCCACGTTTTGGCTATTTGGGTGGCGGAGGCTGTGGAGTGACTTAGATGTGTGCACGTTTTGATTAGTGTACACATCTAAAAACTCCACACGCTCCACGGAAGATAAACTCAAAGTTGGCAAGTTTTGGGGCACTTTTTTTTTGAGTATTTCTTCTCCTCTAGCCCTCCTGCTGCGTGTGTGCTGGGGCACTGACAGGCTGCCTTTCTGAGGCTCTGTTCATCAACTTTTTTTCAGATCACATTATTTCTATTAATCTGCAAATTTGCTCTCTTCTACCCCCTCAAATCTACAATAACTGAAATAAATAATTCACTAGAGGGACTCAACTCTAGTGAATTTTTTATTTTGGTTACTGTGCTTTTCAACATCTGTATCTCTATTTGGTTCCTTTTAAAACTAACTTCGTATTATTTGAGGAAACACTGTCATCGTACCATCTTGGAATTTTCCTGCCCCAACCTTCCTGGCTAATGTTTGTTATGTTTAGAGATGGGTTTCATCATGTTGGCCAGGCTGGTGTCTAACTCCTGACCTTGTGATCCACCTGCCTTAACCTCCCAAAGTGGAAGGATTACAGGCGTTGAGCCACCGCACCTGCCCCATCTCTTACCTCTTTAAATATGGTTTCCTTTAGTGACGTGCACTTGAAGTCTGTCTGCTGCCATCAGCACCTGTGTGGCCTCAAAGGCAGTGCCTATTGCCCCTTTCCTCCTTGTGTATGACACTCTCTTCTTTGAATGTCTTAACTTTTATTGAAAACTGGACATTTCTGATAATACATTATAACCTATTTCCCTCTTCCCCTAGGGCTTTCGTCTTTTATTTTTAAAGACCTTGTCTCATTCGTTGCCCAGGCTGGAGTGCAGTGCTATGCTCACAGCCCACTGAAGCCTTGACCTCCCAGGTTCAAGCAACCCTCCTTCCTCGGCGCTGCAACTAGAACTACAGGTGCATGCCAGATGCCTGATTTTTCTTTTTCTTTTTTTTTTTGTAGAGACAGGGTTTCGCCATGTTGCCGAGGCTGGTCTCAAACTGCTGGACTCAAGCGATTTGCCCACCTAGGCCTCCTGAAGTGTTGAGATTACTGGTGTGAGCCGCTGTGCCTGGCCCAGGGTTTTTGTTTGCTTGCTTATCCAGTGTCTGTGGATTTGTCTGGGATCCAAAGTACACGTGAAAAAGTTGTTTCGGGGAATGTGTGCCCACAAAGACTGTGCCATGCTTGTCTTCTGCTTGCCTGACACTGACCACGCCCACTGCCAACACCCAGAACAGGCTCTGTCTGTGGTGCCAGCCCACCTGTGCCTGCCTCACCCTCACGGCTGTCAGTTTCTGGGCTGCGGCAGGGGGTCTCCGCCCAGCACACTGGCACTTCTCCGCTCACCGTCACGAGCAAAGGCCTGAGCGCGGATGTTCCAGGCACCGCCGTCAGCACCTGTGCGCGGTCAGGCCTGCTTCCAGCACTCGGAGAAGGTCCGCTGAGCAGCCCCACCAGCTCTGCCGGCAGCAGACATGTGGTGAGACTGGTACCCAGAGTCTTGTTTTCAAACTCAACCAGCACCAACATCTTCCAAATCCTGCTGCACTCTAACAGCTCCCAAAAAGGCCTATTTTTACACACACTGAAAGTCAGCATCAAACACAAATCAGAGGGCAAAGACTTTTTTTTAATTGGACTTGGTTTTGACGAGTACGGACAAGCCCCGCAGACATGAGTATAATTTGAGTGCAAAGTCCTTGCCAGCATCGCCCAGCAAATTCAGAGAAAACACACACAGAAGTTAAAAGACAGCTCAATTCATCTTCCAGCACCTGCAACTGTTTCCAGACTTTCTGTGTAGTCTTCTTTGTGCTTTCAGTTGAGTAAAAGTCAGAGAGGATAACAAACCTTTAAAGTCAGATCCGTAACTGTACAAAACTGACCGGACTATGGAGAAGGGGAACCGTCATTTTACAAAATATTATTAAGATCACCAGCATTAATTTAAATTATTTCCTTTTCTGGACTTCCAAGTCCACTTGGCAATTTTACTTAGGAAAATATCATGCTTAAATAGAAAACTGGTAGTCTAAACACATCTTCTTTGTGTGACATATTCTTGTGTGCATATGTAATGAGAATTTTTAAAAAATTGTTTTCTTCCTGCTGCCAAAACGTAGGCATTAAAAATAAGTGACTGTAAACCTAGGTGACTTACTCATAAAAAGGAGTAAGTGAGGAGAGAGAGAAGGAGCAAGAGAACCCGAGCGTCCTGTCACTCACAGGCGTGGTTTGGACAGGAAGTGCGTCTCTAGGATGTTCACTGCTTCCTCAGAGTAGACAGATAGTATAAAAATGCTAGGAAGAAACATTCCTGCAATGGTCTGCAGAACAAATGTGCCAGTTTTGCCTTAGAATGTCTTAAGACATCCCAATAATGTTGGATTATTTGGCCTGTTTGGCTATACGACCCATCTTTAAAGCTGAAACAAAAATTGTTAGAAAAATATTCTAAGAAGAATGAAACTTAAAAAAAAAAAGAAAAGTTAAAAATATTTGCTCACCATAATCATTTCACTGTATCAGTTTTGGTTCCGAATGTGATTGTAAGTATCTATCCATTGCAGCACATGAGAACCATGCAGCCGCCACGACAGGTGTGTTGCACATAAGACTTCTCTTTAGAGTGACTATTTAACAGCACAAAGCTCACTCATTTTTTTTCATGGCGCATTGTGACAAAACTGTAACGGAGTAGGCGAAGAACAGACTGAATGCTTCCTTTTCACCTAGGCCTTCACCAGCCAGCCAACAGCTCTCGACACCAGCAAGTCAGCTGACAGTCACGGGCAAAACCCCACCCTCGGCTCCGAGAATCAGAGACAGAGGGAAACTCAGTGCAGCTGTGCAGACCCAGGGGCTGAAGCCATGTTGTCCTAAGCCACAGCCAGGACCTTGGAGCAACCCGGGGCCCCTCTGCTGGGAGGAAGCAGTGGAGAAAGGGACTGGCCAGGTTTTTCACCAAAACCCAGGGCTCCTATGGGGGTGGGGGGCATAAAGGGAGGGAGGCGGCTTTCACTTCTAGGCCTGAGCAGAGCGTGCTGGCTGGGAGTGCTGTATGCCAGCCCAAACCATACACCCACCCGTGCCCGCTTCCCATCTGGCTTGTAGCTGCCCTAGCTGCTGGGAAAGGCGTGGCCTCAGAGGCTCTCCCCAGGAACCATTCACTCTGAATCTGCCCCTTCTCCAGCTCTCAGGCCCAGGCCCAGACATTTCCTCAATCAGATCCATCATCGAGCGATCACTGCTCAAAACAAGGCCTCCAGTCTGTTTCTCCAGCCACAGGGGAGTGCCTTCCGCTCCCCTGTGTTTTTAACGAGATTCCGCGAGGACTGTCGAAAGCTCTGGAAGTGCACGCTTCCGCATCTCAGAGCAAAGGGAGCTGAGTGGGAGCTCAGGCTCCAGATGTCCACCGCAACCTCTGACGGTCAGGCAGTGACTCGGCTGGAACGTGGACGTAGGGAGACGGGAGCGCAAGGGCTTGGCGGAATGAGTGTCCTCCATGCAAAGACCTCAGCAGAGGGCTCAGCCTGGGTCGGGGTCCTGGGTAAGAGCGGGGGGCTGTGCTGGCCTCCCGAGAAGACACTTTGGGCTTGCCGTAGAGGTAGGAAAACAGGGAGAGAAACCAGGTAGGGAGAGAAGAAAAAGCCTCCAGAACACAGAGCCTCTTCTTCCCCCACCCCTACCTGTCCATGCCCCCAGCTGAACACATGTAGAAAAACTATGGTATTGCTGATTCTGTGACAAGAATCTTCCTGATCGGTAACCTGCCCAACACCCACAGAACATGGCAATGAAGCCCTACATGCTTTTAAAAAAAAACAGACTGTTCAGACTAGACAAACCAGAAAACCAGCTTAGCATGGCCAGTACGGTAATGAGTACTGAATCCCACCTATCTTGAGTTCCCCAGGAAGTGCGGTTCCACCTGTCATTGTGCCAACAGCATTGATTATTTAAACTTCAGATCCATGTGCTCTCCTCAGCTTCACAGAGGGTCTCATTTCCTACGCCAGTGGGAATCACCGAGGGTACCCAAAAATGTAAAATCCTGGAGAGCTCAAAAACAAACATGGTTTGCAGCAAGATTCAACCAAGACGCCCGCAGCTGCTCTGAGGGCCAGGATGCAGCAGCCCGCACATTCAGAACCTTGCACACAACTTACAGGAGCTCAGGAAATGATAAAAGGCCCCACATTCTTAAAGGTATAATTTATAGAGTAGTCTGTACAAAAGCAGTCTTTTTCAAGGGACTCTGCTGCTCCTCAGAAGAAATCCACGGCCCTGGGCCTTCTCCTTGGCGTGGTGGTCAGGGGCTTCTTGGCCACCAGGGGTGAGCTGGCAGGCGAGCTGGTGGGGGTCTTCAGTACCCCGTGGAGGGGCCTCTGTTCAGGGTCGAAGGCCACCCGGGAAGCACCCGTGGGACTGACCAAGATACTCTTGTCTGTCTTCTTGAATTCTGTCCCAAGTGAGAGCAAGGCCCCATGTTAAGCAGGTCAAACAGCTGTCCCTTCAACAGGCTAGACAGCATCCTGCCTGGGTGCCAACCCTGCCCATTTGCTAGGATGAAGCGGGGCCATCTCAAGGCTCTGCAGAGAGCAGGCCTGAGAGCCTCCTGAGGCAAGGAGGGCAGTGAGGCCACGGCCCCACGCCTCAACTCACCCTCCCAAGGGAGGCCCAGGGCCGCCTGCCCAGACCAAGGGGAGCTGCTGGTAGGGTGGCTCCTGGAACTGTGAACTTTGGGGGTGTTTTGGACAATGAGTGGACCAGGCATTTGTGTCTGGGACAAATCTGTGCTATGTGGAGCTGCAGGATTTGTCCTGTTCATTCTCTCCAGTTGTAAAGGCTGGGTGAACTCCTCCTCTTCTCCCTAAACACACATACCCTCACACACACACACACACACACACACACACACACACAGGTGCATGTGCAAACACATACTGGTACATGTACACACACAGATACTGACGCATGTACACACACTGACGCATGTACACACACATGCACTCATGCATATACCCCCACACACTCACATTCATACACATAAACTCACTCTCATACACTCATACAAATACACTTACTCCTACACTCACACACATTTACACACACACATACACTCATACATGCACTCTCACATACACACACACACTCAATTACTTGTGGTTCCCAGTGAGAGTTGGGTCCTAAACTCATACTTTTTAAACCTTTGGTTTCTTTTGTGAAAGCAACTCGAATGGATGGCAGCAATACCAGAACTAGGAAGACAGGGATTTCCCTTCTCCACCCCCCAGGAAACAAGTGGTTATGAAGTTTCGCAGAGAGGCAGCTACAGCTGATGGACCGCTGCGATCTCAAATGGCCCTTCTGTGGGTTGGCTTGCAGTACTTAGAGACACTTGGGAAAACGGCTTTTGGATCACGTCTCACCGGGTAGCCTCTCCTAAGAGGTCCCAAGCAATTGGCTGCCCACTCACCACTGGCACCCCACTCACAGCCCTTTGAGGACGAGGGACACATAGGTGCTTCCTTCTGACTCTGGAATGGGCACTGAGGGGCTGGGCACGGTGGCTCATGCCTATAATCCCTGCTCTTTTGGAGGCTGAGGCAGGTGGATCACCTGAAATCAGGCCGACATGGTGAACTCCCTTCTCTACTACAAAGACAAATTATCCCAGCTACTTGGGAGGCTGAGGCAGGAGAATCGCTTGAACCCAGGAGGCGGAGGTTGCAGTGAGCCAAGATTGTGCCAACCTGGCTAGGAGCCACGCCAGGAGTTGCAGCTGTGCTCGAGAAGCCAGGCGCCGGCACACCCCACTTACCTGCAGTCATGTTTCTGTTCAGCCCAAAGGTGACCTTCTTGGAGCTGGACGGCGTCTTGTTTAGCTGCAGGAGAGAAACAACAGGAGTAACACAGCGTGCGGCGGCCGCGTGGTCTCCCCGTCAGATTATTCTGGAGAACCTGTCCTGGAGGGGCCGTCGCCCACACTGCCGCTTACTGAGTGGCGCATGCTAAGAGGCCAAAGGGACTGCGGCGGAGACCGAAACCAACTGTCCTGCCGGGGCTTCACCAGGAATGCCCTCCGCCCTCCCGTGTCCCACGCACGCCTCCCCCAGCCCGGGGCACTGGTGCTCGCACCCTCGGCAATTGCGGCCAGCACCTCATTCCCACACCACAGGTCCTACCATCTGGGGAAGAAAGGCAAACAGTGAAGGCACCTGAACCGTCCTAAAAGCAGTTTGCCACTGAGAACCTGTGAGGACAAATGCCAACGACTCGCCTGCCTTTTGCTGGAGAGTCCTGAAGTTGTAACCTGAAGACTGACATGGATGAGGCGCTGCCTCCGACGGGGTCTCACCTCATGGACACTGCCAAGGACTTGGACTCCAAGCTATCTATCTCCAAGCTATTTCCGGCGGTTCACCAAAACCAAACGTGCTCTTTCCTACTTAAATTCTGGCAAGCGGGTCCAGCCTGCATCAGGAAGCACTTCCTCAGGTTCCTGCTGACCCCCATTTCTGAGCGGACCTGCTACTGCTGACTCGTGCTACCTGTGTTCTCACAGCGCGACGTTTCATGAGAAAACGGGTTTCTGCAAACCCAGAGCTGGAAGCCCCAGGAGGCAGATGTGTGGATCAACCGCCCCTCTAAGTCCCCTTCGCAACTGCGATCCCTCAGGGTGGGTCCCAGACCACCCAGGCCTCCCGCGGCCCTGGCCGGAAACCTGCCCACTGTGGCCAGGCTGAGAGGCCAGAGTGGGGCTCCTGCCTGGCATGGGAAACACCGTCAGCTCAAGCCCATCTGTGCCCGTGTGCAGAAACGGGCTGTGCTGCCCCCGGGAGGATGCGTACCTGGACGGCAGGGCCTGGGGAGTGGGTGGCAGTGCTGCTCTTCGCTCTTCTGAAGAATAGCGGCTTTGGCAAAAAGGGGGTGTCAAACGTCACAAAGTCATTCTCTGCCCTCGGCTGCTGCTGCTTCAGGGAACTGAAAGCCCCACTGCTTCCCTATGTGAGTTGGGGGCAAGAAGTGGGAAGGAGGGGTCAGACGAGAGCCTCTGGTTCCGCCCATGCACACAGGAGGTGGCAGAGCCCGAGGGGACCCAGCCTACCCCGCAGCCTGCAGTTTCCTGCACTGCATTTGCAGACAGCCCTTCGATTCCAGAGCCCAGACTGCACACAGCACGGCCACCTCTGGGCCAGCACCATGCCAAGAGGAGCGATGAAAACGCCCTCTCTGGGTAAGGACCCACTTTATCTTCATTCTCAAGTGGAGGGTTTTGGCCTTTCAAGCCCATCTGTTAAAGAATAATTCCCTCTCCATTTGTAGCTGAAGCATCACTGCACTGGCAGCCTGGTGTGGAGGGCAGTGATACCCACATGGTGGCTCTGCTCACAGGCGAGCTCAGGAAGCTCACTGGGTGTGCAGCGACTGACGGCCACCCAGAGGTCGGCTCTCGTCCTGGGCTCTCAGAGGTCTGGGAAGCCCAGTGCAGCTGAAGACACACGGGCGGCTCCGGCAGGTTCAAGGGTGCTGCCTCGAGAGCAGGCGGCCTGAGGAGCGCCTCCTGTGCGCCTTCCCTCTGCTGGGGAGCTTCCCTCCACCCTGAGACTCACTCGGCAACACCCCATCCTCTCTAGCACCACCCAGGGCAATGTCTCCGGCCCTCTCGTTGAGGAAGCAGCACTGTAGGTACAGTGAGGGGCAGGCTGCAGTCAGGGCGGTGATGGCAGCGCTGAGAGGGCAGCCTTCTGCCGTCCAGCTCAGTGCCCTGCTTCCCTGACCAAACTCACTCGCTAGCCACTTGCAGACACTCTTAGCCCCAAGCCAGCACTTGCCAGGTCCACATGTCCGCTTCAACAAAGATGTCATAACCTCTGCAAAGCGGTGTGTGCAAAGCAAGAGCTGATCAAGGGTGCGCCACCTCTGTGATGGGCAGATTATTTTCCTCTCTGCAGACCACAGGTCTCTATCTCTACTACTTGACTCTGCCACTGCAGAGTGAAGGTGGCCATGGACCTGCACACACGAGTGGGCATGGCTCTGTTCCAGTGAAACGTTTGCTGGCCCCAGCCTGGAAGCCCAGCACACACAGAGGTGATGTGAAAAGCAGATCAGGGCCAGGCACAGGGGCTCACGCCTGTAATCCCAGTACTTTGGGAGGCTGAGGCAGGCAGAGTGCTTGAGCCCAGCCTGGGAAACAAGGCAAAATGGTATCTCTACAAAAATTCCAAAAAAACTGGCTGGGCACGGTGACCCATGTCTGTAATTCCAGCTACCTGGGAGGCTTAGGCAGAAGAATTGCTTGAACCTGGGAGTTGGAGGTTGCAGTGAGCCAAGACTGTGCCACTGCACTCCAGCCTGGGTGACAGAGCAAGACCCAAAACCTGATCAACAGCCTGGTTCCTCATTTAAATCTGGCTCAAAAGATCCCAGTAGAAGGAAAGTCTTCCCATTAAGAAGATAAGTGGTCCTGCTAGTGAAGTTTCTCGGAAGCGGGGGGAGCTAACAAAAGAAAAGAATATAGAAAAGGTGGTTAAGTGAGGCCAGACAATTTTGGCCTTCCTCTTCGGCCAAAGGGGCCGGGACTGGCCATGTGCTGCTGAAGAAAACCAGACCTGCATCTGATGGAGGCCCAGACCAGACTGAACACGCCTGGGGCAGCAGTACCTGGCCCACGAGATAACCTGCCCAGCTTGGGGCGGGCCCTTCCAAACCCAAGCATATGGCCTGGGGGAGTGAAGGTGGCCGATGAGGACCTGAGTAACTGGTCACCTGTGACTTCCTCCTGGTGAGGGGGGTTATGAACAAGCCCTATTCTACCTGCTGCTGGGTCCAGAGGCCTGGCTGCCGGCCCCCACTCTTTCCCTCAGGAGACAGGGAGGACCCCGGACGCGTTTGAGCGCCTCTGCGGTGAGCTGGCCTGTGGGCCTCCCACCTTACCAGAGCCTGGGGTTGCCCGGCCTCGGACTCCGACACCCCGTTGTGCTCTACCAAGTTTGACATCTCTCTCATTTTCTTCCTCTTTTTCAGGCTTGCGGTTTTCTGGCTGGACAGGCCACAGAGCTCCAGGCTGCCGGGCTCCGCCTTCTTCTTCTGCAGCCTCCTGCACAGGGGCGGGACAGTGTGGCCGTTCGCCCCCTCTGCTGGGCTGGTGGGAGCGCCTTCCTGCTGCAGCGGAGGCCAGGCCAGCACAGACAGGCCATTGCCATTGATGGGGACAACTCCAAGCTTCCGCTTCCTTTTTAGGAGTTGGGCTCCACCTGTCGGGGACACTCTAGGTCCCTGAGGATGGCCGCCACTCAGGCCACCCTGAGACACATCCTCTGGTGGCAACACTGCTGATTCTGACATTTCCCTGTGGGCCCTCGGGCTCTTCTTCCGTGGCCGTTTCCTTTTATTGTGCATGGGGACAGCGGGAGGACGCTCGGAGCCACTCTCCTCCCCGGTGCTGGATGCGGCCTCTGCCGCCGGCTCGGCCACATGTGGATTCGGGGCTCCTTGCCCAGTGGCCTCGGGCTCCCTGCCCCTGTTCTCTTCTAGGGACAGGGCTGCATCCCCTGGGCCTGGATTTTCAGGCTGGAGGTGGTGCTTTTTCTTCTTCTTCCTTCTTCTCTTTTGAAGACTGCTTTCGCTGTCCTCTTCCTCTGCACAGAAGACTCTGCTTCCTAAAAAGACACAAGCCCATCAACAAGCACCCTAATGCTGGCTGAGATGGTATGATTGGCGGACAGAATTTTCTGATATTCTACCACCAGGAAAGATTCTGTCTCCCTTGAGGTACCCAGTGGGCCCCACTACCTTTGCTGTCGGCCCCACTTCCTCCATCCCCAGCGGTGACTGGAAGCTTTCCTTCTGTCCATTTAAACACACATGATCTGATTTCTATTAATCTTAGGTCCCAAAGTTAAAACCATCGATTTAGAGTGATTGTCAAACAGCCGCCCCCCAGCCAGCGCTCCCTGCAGAGGTGCCCCGGGGAGCTGGCGGATATGAGTAGGGTGAGGTGGGGGAAAGGCGGGGATGGTGGCTCTGCTGGAAACAGCAGAACGCTCAGAAAACCCCCTTTACCTCTCAGCCATTAAAAACTGAAGCTTTGGGCTCTGCTAATGCTTCATGAAGGCATGCGCTCAAGTCTCGAGGTCTCCATAATGCACACCACTCCCCAGGGGCTGAGTCACGCCCTCTTTTCAGCTTTACAGCTTACCTTTCTCCTTTTCCAAGTTAGTTTTCTCTAAAAGTTTATTTCCTTTCTTCTTATGCTTTCCTTGACTGAGGATTGGGTCATCTTCATCAGCAGAAATGTCCTCAGAGAAACTGAGTTGAGATATACTGCCTCCTAGATGCCAGAGTGACACACTGTCAGCTTCTCCAGATGCTTGAGACTCTGCCCCAGCGGCCCAACAGCGGCACCCCTCCCGATTCCTGCCTCATCGTTGTTCCTGTTTCTCCCACCCAAACCTGAACGCAGCTGACACAGGAATTAAGACTTAAAAAAGCTTTGTGGATTTCTCAGCCAAGGAAAGCAAGGGATCACAAGTCCCAGGTGACACCCTCCATGGCTGGACCCCGGGGCTTGGCTAATGCAGTCTTCAAATTCCAACAAACTTGCTGGTGCTCTTCCCAATTTCTTTTTCTTTCTTTTTTTTTTTTTAAAGACGAAGTCTTGCTCTGTCACCCAGGCTGGAGTGCAGTGGCGAGATTTTGGCTCACTGCAACCTCCGTCTCCTGGGTTCAAGCAATTCTGCTGCTTTAGCCTCCCGAGTAGCTGGGACTACAGGCGTGCACCACCACGCCCAACTAATTTATATTTTTAGTAGAGACAGAGTTTCACTATATTGGTCAGGCTGGTCTTGAACTCCTGACCTCATGATTCGCCTGCCTCAGCCTCCCAAAATGCTGGGATTACAGGCGTGAGCCACCGCGCCCGGCTGGCTTTTCCCAATTTCAAGTGTCCCTAGTGCATGAGGAGTATGCGGTGACCTCGCTGACTTGTCTGAACATAACAAGCTTACAGCAGCCCTTCCCGGAGCAATGCTGATCCTAACAGCAAATGAAAGGGATTCTGAGAAATTACATTTTTCACCTTCATAGAGCATCCATTTAAAACCTTGCTAGGCCAATGAAAATCCATCTAGTTAAACAAAAACCAAACCAAAACTTCACACCACTCACACCTGAGAGGAGTCTGCCCTCCGGCTCTGGCGTTAGGGGAGAGCCTGGGAGAGGAAAGTGGGCAGGCTGCAGAGGGCCGTAGGCCTGTGTCACTCCTCACAGGTGTACTGTGGTGTGATTCTTTCTTTCTTAAGAGTTGGGGCCTTGCTCTGTCACCCAGGCTGGAGAGCAGTGGCGTGATCACAATTTAGTGCATCCCGGACCTCCTGTGCTCAAGCGATCCTCTCCTCTTAGCCTCCCGAGTGACTGCGACTACAGGTTCACTCCACCGTGCCTGGCTACTTTTTTCATTTTTAGTAGAGATGAGGCCTCGCTATTTTGCCTGGGCTGAGGACTATTATTTCTTATTAGAGGTTTTCAGTACAGTTCTTTCAATCCTGTTTCTCAGCGTTGGGCATCTATACCCCCAGTTCATGAAAAACACCATGAATGATGATCTTGGCATGCCTCACCTTCAGAGAGGTCTTGGAATCTAAAAAATAAAATAATAATGAAAAAAAAAAGTCACAAATGTTCATAAAGAAATCCCTTCTTTCTGTCTTCTGTAGACTTACATATTCAATTTTTAAAATATAAGCAATAGTTAAGTATTTGTTAATTCACGTTCTCCTCCAGGAGGGGAGGCTAGAGAGGAAATTCTGTGAAGGAAAGATGGTACAATACAAAGGCAAAAAAGATCCAGGCCAGTGCCACCCCCAGTTACCAGCACACCAGCAAGGACACGGCAGACAAGGTGCATCTTGGCACACCCAAATCAAACTAAGAAATTCAAGTCTGCTTATATTCAATTCTCCAACGGAGAAAGGCAAAGCTGTGTTTTGCTCTATACAATGTGTGTGCATTAGAACAAACAAGGAGCATTGAGGCACAGTGTGGGGAGGTGCATGGGGAGGGGACACTGGATGGCAGGGGCCTCGCGCAAGCTAGGACCATCCTGTGCCTTGGGAACCCAGCTGGGAAATGGGCAAAACTACAGAGCTGCTTTCTAGGGGCTTAACACAGAAGACTTGAAAGTATGCAAACCACTCAGAGCAGTGCCCGGCTCCCAGAGCGGGATCACACAGCTGTTATTTGTCCCCAGTGACAGCAGGCAGCACATGAGGCCCTACAGTGAATTCCAGGTCATGTCATTGCAGCCAGAGTGACATCAACACTGACAGCTGAATTAACTAACATTTTTGGCATAAGCACATGGGAGGGAGGGGGGTTAAGTAAGGAACCCCGTCTATTCAGCAGCACACCAGCAGAAGACACCGAAATAGCAGATGTACATCCGTTTCTGGTTGGTTAATTTTAGACATTAATAAGCGTCTCCTCACATCATTCTAAAGCTGCTCAGAGGTGAGTACGGCTGCACTGGAAGAACAGAACCTGACGGGTGGGACTGCAGTTTCCATTAAATTTTTCAGTTTACATGTGTCTACCACATTGCCATAAACAAAAACATTAAAGGACAAAGAAAGAGAAGAGCAGGCAGACGGCTTTCCTACACCAGGAGAGCGGAACTAGAGCAGCTGGGCTTGACCCACAGTGATGATCTGAGAGACCCTCTCCCTAGTCACTGACTTTTTGATGAGTTTGGAGAGACGCTTCCTGTTGAAGGGCGGGGTGTTCTTCCTGTTGGTCATTTCCAGGAGTCGATCAGCAACAGCCTTATAGTCAAACTAGGCAGGAAGAGAAACTAGGCGTAAGTCTGCGCCACATAACACTGCCTGACTTGGACACTTCCATCTGTAGTAAGAGAAAACCCTTACGGAAGCATCTGGCCACAGACAGGCTAAACAGGCACGTGCTGGGGCCTGGCACCCGGACGCACAAGCACTATCTTAACAAACTCATGTTCTGTCTATTCTTGGGAGAAGCTGGGTAAGCAATTCTTTCTTTAAAAAAAAAATTGTGATAGAGTACATACAACAAAATTTACCTGGGTGTGCTTCATTTTTTCATTTGAGATGAAGTCTCACTCTGTTGCCCAGGCTGGAGTACACTAGCATATCTCAGCTCACTGCAACCTCCAGCTCCCTGGTTCAAGCCATTCTCCTGCCTCAGCCTCCTGAGGAGCTGGGATTACAGGCACACACCACTGCGTCTGGCTAATTTGTGTATTTTTTAGGAGAGATGGGGTTTCGCCATGATGGCTAGGCTGGTCTCAAACTCCTGATCTCAGGTGATCCGCCGGCCTCTGCCTCCCAAAGTGCTGGGATTACAGGCGTGGGCCACTGCGCCTGGCTGCAGGGTGTGCTTCTTTTTAAGTTTAATCTAGATTTACAATCTGTACTTGGTAAACCTTTTTTTATTTGAAAAGTGCCACTAGAGCTGGTTCTGTGGTAGAGAACAGCACAGAGCTTAGCCATTCAAAATCAGGGCTACTATCTCTTTCTAAACTCCATCATATTTACATTTCCTTTCCTCCAACAAGCTTATTCTTAGGAAGGTGACATTTAGTGACTGAAGGGATTAAAAAGGAGTTTGTACTTCAGGCCTTACAGCTTAACTAGCTGTGACCCTAATTCTCAGTCAGGCTACTCCACAGCAAATCTGTATTCCATGAAAAGCAACAACGGCCACCCACCTGGAGAAGCAGCCCCGAGTCCTCAAAGGTTCCACAGCCATCTCTTCTGCTTTCATCACTGCGTCCATCTCTTCTGCTTTCATCACTGCGTCCATCTCTTCTGCTTTCATCACTGAGTCCATCTCTTCTGCTTTCATCACTGAGTCCATCTCTTCTGCTTTCATCACTGAGTCCATCTCTTCTGGAATGACTTTTGCCCAGTGCTGTCAAAATACACCCAAAGACCAAATTCTTGACATACCAAATACACAGAGGTGACTACTTTCACAGGAGCCACTGTCTAATTAGGTGTCTCTTAGCAAGAAAGAAGCGTGGGCGCGGTGGCTCACATCTGTAATTCCAGCATTTTGAGAGGTCAAGGGGGTGGATCACCTGAGGTCGGGAGTTTAAGACCAGCCTGACCAACATGGAGAAACCCTGTCTCTATTAAAAATACAAAATTAGCCGGGCATGGTGGTGCATCCCCGTAATCCCAGCTACTCGGGAGGCTGAGGCAGGAGAATTGCTTGAACCCAGGAGGTGAAGGTTGTGGTGAGCCAAGATCGTGCCATTGCACTCCAGCCTGGGTGACAAGAATGAAACTCCCATCTCAAAAAGAAAAAGAAAAATTACTTCCTGTTGACCAGGTCTGAGAAAAATAAAAGGAAAAAAAGATTATTGATTCTATCTATCTATCTATCTGTTTATTTATTTATTTATTTTTTGAGACAGGGTTTTGCTTGGTTGCCCAGGCTGGAGTGCAGTGGTATGATCCCGGCTCACTGCAGCCTCCGCCTCCCAGGTTCAAGCGAATCTCCCACTTCAGCCTTGCGAGTAGCTGGGACAACAGGTGTGCACCTCCATACCTGGCTAAGTTTTGTATTTTTTGATAGAGACTTGGTTTTACCATGTTGGCCAGGCTGGTCTTGAACTCCTAACCTCAAGTTATCTGGCCGCCTGGGTCTCCCAAAGTGCTGAGATTACAGGCATGAGCCATTGCACCGGCTTGTTTTTTTCCTGATTAAACATAATAAATAATCACTGTAGAAAATAGAGAAGTATAAAGAAAACAGAAACCACCCATAATTCTGCCACCTACAGCTAACTATTAACATTTTGGGCTAGATGCAGTGTTTATGCCTTTAATCCCAGCACGTTGGGAGGCCAAGGTGGGTGGAATGCTTACGCCTAGGAGTTTAAGACCAGCCTGGGGAATATAGTGAGATCACTGTCTCTACAAAAAGAGGTGTGTGCTTGTGGTTCCAGCTACTTGGGAGGCCGAGGTGGGAGGATCACTTGAGCCCAGGAGGTTAAGGCTGCAGTAAACCATGTCAATCCGGTTCACTCCAGCCTGGGTGACAGAGTAAAACCTTGTCTCTAAAAATAAATAAATAAATAAAAACATTTGGGTTTATTCTTCCAGATTTTTAAAAAGCATAAACAGTGTCCTAGCCAGAGCAATCAGACAAAAAAAAAAAAAAAAAAAAAAAAGGCATCCAAATTGGTTAAGAGGAAGTCAAACAGTCAGTGTTTGCTGATGATATGATCGTATACCTAGAAAACCATAAAGACTCATCCAAAAGGCTCCTGGTATATGAATTTGGCAAAGTTTCAGGATGCAAAATCAATGTACACAAATCAGCAGCACTGCTAAACACCAAGACCAACGACCAAACTGAGAATCATGTCAAGAACTCAATCCCTTCTATAGTGGCTGCCAAAAACCCACCAAAACAACGATGACAACAAAAACAAAACGAAGCAACCCCAAAAACCTTAGGAATATACCAAACCGAGCATGTGAAAGATGTCCACAGGGAAAACGACAAGACACTGCTGAAAGAAGTCCCGATGACAGAAACAAATGGAAACACAGAAGCACATCCCATGCTCATGGATGGGTAGAACCAATATTGCGAAAATGTGGTATGTATACCACGGAATACTACTCAGCCATAGAAAAGAATGAAAATAATGGCATTCACAGCAACCTGGACAGAGTTGGAGACCATTATTCTAAGTGAAGTAACTCAGGAATGGAAAACCAAATATTGAATGTCCTCACTTAAAAGTGGGAGCTAAGCCATGAGGATGCAAAGGCTTAGGAATGGTACAATGGGCTTTGGGGACTCAGGGGGAGGGGTGGGAGCAGTGACGGATAGTAGACGACACATCTGGAAGAGTGTACACTGCTCAGGTGACAGGTGCGCCCAAATCTCAGAAATCACCACTAAAGAACTTATCCATGTAACCCAAACCTGTTTCCTAAACTATCAAAATAAATAAAATGACCTTTTAGGAAAAAAAATAATAAAAGCACAAATAAACACTGAAAAACAAATCAGATGCACAACTATCAAATAGCCATAATAAAGAAAACCCAAACAACAAATCGGGCTCCTTCTATGTAGAGTTTGTGCCCTGCCTTAAAAATATATATACACATATATTACATTTCCTTTGGTCCTTAGTTTCTGGTGACTTTGCTTCAGAGTGGTTACATGACACTTGAACAGCACGGGTCAACGGCGTCCTCAGCATTTCCCTCATTGTGTACACGAGCTGCCATAGCGCACTGTGGGGAGGGTGCTGAAGGGCATGCCACTTCAAACGCACTTTGGACACGAAGTCCACAGACACAGCAGCAAGACACAGTGGGCATTTAAACATCCAAAGGAAAAGAACCTGAAGGAAGCCGTGGGGTGAGAAAGAACAGCTACAGAAACAAGTGTACGTCCCTCCCACAGGAATGAGGCCACGCTAAGGTGCTGACGTACGTCAAATAAAACAACAAAGCAAACCCCCCCACCCCCCAAAGCACTAGCAGTGACCATGGGAAAATCCCTCAGCAGAGTCCTGAGGTCCTGGGAGGTGGAGAAATGTGTGTACGCCACATGGGACAGGTCTCGGGTCTCCCCAGAGCCCTGCTAGGCACCCCCCAGACACACTGAACCCACCTCTACTGCCTTTCTTGGGAGGGGCTGAGGCACAGCCATCAATTCTAGGTTGCATTCAGTAAGATGTTGACAAATGTATTAAAAAAGGTTTGTTTGAGGACTGGACCAGAAAGAAAGCCAGACCGACCAGTAACAGCCTCTCACCTGTCTTCTTTTTACTGAGAGCTCTTCTCAGCGTCGCCTCATTTTCAGGCGGCTCTTCTGCAGAGAGGTCACCATCGCCCACTTTTGTCTTCTGTTCCTCCGACTCTTCTGGCACAAAAGGAGACTGATCTACGATAGCTTCGAAAACGCCCCTCGCTATGGTCCGCACCAGGCTGTGGCTGAGGGAGAAAGCACAGTGGCGGGCAGGTGATGAGAACAAACGGCCTGGCCCGCTGGCTTCAGGGGCGCACAGGGAAGCCCTGCACACGTCACTGGGGTCTGGGGCGGCCCTCCCGAGCCAGCGAGCATCTGCGAGGAACTGCCCAAGGGCCACCTGGCAGGCGTGGGACGCCCAGCAGTCTGATCCCTGGGTGTGAGAGGGCATTCTTGGAACGAGTGAGTCAAATACTGAAGCTAGAAGGGCCAAATCAGTGCCCAAAGCTCGAGCGCCCCTCCAGCTGCCCTCTGCTGTGAAGCGGTGTCCAGGTCCCCGCACCCGCTCCCCACAGGCAGGGCCTCGCGGCAGCAGGGGTGGGGACCACTCACTCCTTGGTCTTCGCAGCGACTTTGCAGAATGGATCAATCAACTTGAGATTCTGATCTGCCAAAAGCTGTAATTCAGAAATTAAAAAGGGAAAAACTGAGAGACAAAGAGCCTTTTCCCTTCTTGACATGTCCTTGAAAAAGGGACCATTTACATCTGCTACAAAGGTGGAGTTAGACCAAGTAATGCCCGTCTCACAGTGCCCCCGTGAAACGCCACAGACGCCCGGAACCAGGCTCCAGATCAGGGCCGCCCTCCAGCCACTTGGTATCTTAGAGCAGTGACTGGAGAAAGCCGGCCCGCCCAGCCTGCACTATCCTACAGCCCCACATACAGAACAGGGGTGCGCAATCTTTTGGCTTCCCTGGGCCACGCTGGATGAACTGTCTTGGGTCACACACAAAACACACAAACACTAACAATAGCTGATGAGTTAAAAACAAATTGCAAAAAAACTTGTAATATTTTTAGAAAGTTTATGAGTTCGTGTTGGGCCACACTGAAAGCTGCCTGGGCGGTACGCAGCCCTCAGGCCACGGGTTGCACCAACTTGATACAGGGCATGCATACACTTCCTCTACAAGAGGGGCAAACAGGGACAGTGCCTCCAAGTGTAAGACAAAATAAAATGTTCCCTGCAAAATACCTGTGAAAGGAAAGTAAAATCTGTGTATATTCCCACATTCAGGGAATCATTTACATACTAAAAATGTATGTTTCCATTCCAGCCTTTTGTCTATTTACATGAGTATATACCCTAAAAATGTCTATTATGTGCATAGCTTTCCTACCATTTTATAAAGCTCCCTGGATGCTGAGCACCCCTCTGTATAAGTGAGTTCTTTACGGGAGTCTGTAGGTCGCTTTCAATTCTATTTTACAGCTAAGACGGTCATGCACATCCTCAGTGCATAAATCCCATCCCACCAGATGCTTAGGACTCATTTCTAAGGCAGGACTGAAGCAATTCATGCTGCTACAGCAGCTGGTCAGGCAAAGTGCCACCCCACATCACTTGACTGGCCACTACAGCAAACACTGGTGGCTCCCTGACCCACGGGCAGCCTGTCGGCAGCTGCTTACCTCCTTCCCCCCCACTTTGGAGAGTTCATCCAGATAAATATCAATGAAGTGGAATCTCACTCCGTTAGGAGACTGACTCTCAGGACACAGGATCTCCTTCATCAGGACATCTAAGAAAACCTTGATTCGGCTACAGACGCAAACATACATGGCTCTGTTAGTGACAGTATGCCAACACTTCTTACTTCCCAAAGAGAAACAAAAATATTCCGTCTAGTACCTCCACTGCCTAACAACCAACGCAACGCTAAAACCACTTTACAAGGAAAAAAAGCAATCACTTAAATCAGTATAAAATGTTAACTGTCATATATACGTAACGATTTTATACCCCTACTGGATTTCGATTCTCTACAGGTGACGATGTATCTAGCTTCTCATAGTACTCTACAGAGTAGGAGGCACAGATCAGAAAACTTGAAAGACACTCTACCTTTCAGGTTTGAAGGTTACTAGATGCTGCTCGAATAGTTTACTGACCTTTCTTCCCAGCCGTTCCGCTTCAGGACTTCAAAGGACTGCCTCAGGACCAGACGAATCAGCTAAAGATAGGCAATTTTTGTTTTTTAAAAAAAGGAAAGGTAAGAAATATTAATTAACTCACCAGAACGAGGAGACCAATGAAAACTTTTGGATCCCAAAAGTGAAAAAATGCTCACAACAATCATATTTAACCTCTAGATCAAAATACATATTCATAGCTAGGAGCAGTGGCTTATGCCTGTAACCCCAGCATTCTGGGAGGCCGAGGCAGGTAGATCACTTGAGGCCGGGAGTTTAAGACTACCCTGGCCAATATGGCAAACCCTCATCTCTACTAAAAATACACAAATGAGCCAGGCGTGGTGGTGCATGTCTGTTGTTCCCCGCTACTCAGGAGGCCGAGGCACGAGAATAGCTTGAACCCTGGAGGTAGAGGCTGCAGCGATTTGAGATGGTGCCACTGCACTCCAGCGTGCACAACAGAGTGAGACTCTGTCTTAAAAAATACCCAACATATTCACTAATGCTCCCCAAACTCATCCTTAAGAGCTGCAAAAGCTAAAACAGAGCAGTTTTCCAGGACACATTCAAATTCTTCCTTCACACTAGGCCTGGAGCCTCCCAAAGTGCTTCAGAAATAAACCTTTCCATTGTTTTTAAGATAAAAGACATTCTTTTCTTCCCAGGAATTTTTGAAGTAACTGCGGCAGATCTTACCATATAGTATTTGTCCAGGCGTAGCCTGTCTATTCCTTTCCATTCTCGATTCATGGTTTGCCAGAAGGTCTGGATGAACAGGTGTTCTGCAGTGAACAAAAGGCTCTAAATACTTGGCTTCCACATTAACATATTACCATACAGCAAGAAAATAATGAAGAGAAACAAACTAGCATGATTTATTACTCACTTTTCTCAGTTATTCTTGGGCAGCTAGAAAATCTGTTCCATAATTACATTCACTCATTTCTTTTACATTTATTTATTTTTAAACATCACCTGGACTGTGCAGATCTTTTACTTTTTTACTTTTATTTTTGAGACAGGGTCCCACTTGGTGGCCAAGCTGGAAAACAATAGTATGATCTCAGCTCACTGCAACCTCTGCCTCCCAGGTTCAAATTTCTCCTGCCACAGCCTCCTGAGTAGCTGGGATTACAGGTGTGCACCACCACACCCGGCTAATTTTTGTATTTTTAGTAGAGACGGGTTTCGCCATGTTGGCCAGGCTGGTCTTAAACTCTGAAAGTCAAGTGATCTACTGGCCCCCGCCTCTCAAAGTGCTGAGATTATAGGCTTGAGCCAATGTGCTGGCCATGATCTTTTATATTTAAATAAAAACAGTAACAGGAAGGCTGGCAACATTGTAACATCAGATTAGAATGCTCTCTGGAGCATTGTCCCTTTATCCACTGCAAAAGCCATGTTTCTCTTAAAATCAAGATTCCGCATTCCACTGCTAGTGACCCTTCCTACTGCATCGGTACCTAACAATCAATCCCAAACCATTAATTCTCACTCTTATATAACCCACGTAGAAACCCAAGACTTTTGTCTGATGATAGGGTGTCATCTGAATGAGCTACAGCACAAAGCATTCAATTTTTCTCTTCTGACCCACAAAGCAAGCACTTTTTTATTCAAAAACAAATTTTGTTAATTTATTTTTTGGGGGCTTTATTTCTTTTTGCACAATTCTTTTTTCTTCTTTGCAAATCTATAGTATGCATCACATGTAGAATTTTCTTCACTGTGAGTCAGCTAGTATTCAGAGAACCACTGGGGGTTGCTAAAGTCATTAGGATGGTTTTCTGAAGAGCATTAAATAGAACAAACTAAGCCTGCTGCCTTTTTCTTCCTTGTAAGTAATCAATGCCTGACACAGAAGTACCTTAACAAACGCTCCCTCTGCCTTTTCTCTGGTAGAGAGGAGTTACTTCATAGTCTGTGGCCAGCGATGTCTTCTCTTAACTTATTTCTTATCAGTGGCGGCTCTGCTTTTGGGGAAGATGAACCTGACATCCAGAGGTCACTGGGGACCCTGCATCTGACTCTCTAGGCTCCAAGTGTTAACTCGGAATTTGGAGATTGGGAGGACTGTTATTTCTAAAAGCATTTTCTGAAATTTCTGAGATGTCAAACTGATTCTCCTCAAAACACTTCACCCTCTCAGCAGTCAATGACTAAGGTGATCACAGCTTTTACAAACAGGAATGGCTAGCTCTCTGACAGCTGCACAATACCGGCACAAGGCTCCCATGAAACTAGCACACTGGAACGCTCGGGAGGCAGGAGAAACAACAGGACTTACGAGCCGCTGAGTTGTTAACAGCATGGACCAGCTGCGAGATGGTGTTGGCGAGCTCCTCCTGCGGGGCGGAGGGGAGAGACGCGGGGTTACTGTGGGGCAGCGGGAGGCGCCCCGCCTCGGCCTGCTTCCTCCTTCCTCCTCCACCTCTGCTGCCAGAGTCTGCACCTCTTGGTCTCAGTGTCGCTTCCAGTAAGAAGTATGCGTACAAATATCTGAATTTCATCAAATGCGTAATTTCCAATATTGGTGGACTACTATGCTAACTTGGTTATGTCTGCAAGAACTGTTTAAGCAACATGTTTAAAAAAGGATCTCTAGTTATCAGTTCAAATGAACTAGAGACGAAACAAATTAGTTATCAGTTCCTGGCTTTACAACCGTATCTGGCCGTGTGTGGTCACCCATGCCTGTAATCCTAGCACTTTGGGAGGCCGAGGCACGTGGACCACCTAAAATCAGGAGTTCAAGACCAGCCTGATCAACATGGCAACCCCGTCTCTACTAAAAATACAAAAACTAGCTGTGCACAGTGGCGTGTGCCTGTAGTTCCAGCTACTCAGGAAGCTGAGAACTACTTAAACCCGGAGGTGGAGGTTGCAGTGGGCCGAGATCACGCCACCGTACAGCCAGGGTGACAGAGACTCCAACTCAAAACAAAAAAGCAAAAACTCACATCTAAACTGGGCATGGCAGCTCATGCCTGGAATGGGAAGCTGAGGCAGGCTGATCGTTCGAGTCCAGCCTCAGCAACACAGTGAGACCCAGTCTCTACAAAAAGCACAAAAATTAGCCAGGCATGGAGGCACACACCTGTAATCCCAGCTACTCAGGTGGCTGACACAGGAGGATCACCTAAGCAATAGGGATGTTGAGGCTATAGTGAGCCATGATTGCACCACTGCACTTCAGCCTGGGCAACATAGCGAGACTGTCAAAAACAAACAAACAAACAAATAAAACTTCATCATCGCCCACAAATCATGAGAAATGCAAAGACCAGCAGCAGGGTAGATAGACTCCACAGAGGGTAGATGCTGGGATGCTGACTGCACCTGGGTTGGTCAGAGACAAGGTGGAGTATGAAGGTACAGCCAGCTTTCTGGGCTCTGTCCTGGGTGAAGGTGACCCTGGGAGAGTGTGCCTTGTGTGGGAGTGCGCCAACAGAAGTCCTGTGCGGCTAGGGTTCCGTGAGAAAAAGCACACTCCTTGCTGGTCTCACTCACACCTCAGTCTCACACCTCAGTCTCACTCCTCATCAGTCTCACTCACACCTCAGTCTCACTCATCAATCTCACTCATCAGTCTCACTCACACCTCAGTCTCACTCATCAGTCTCACTCCTCATCAGCCTCACTTACACCCCAGTCTCACTCATCAATCTCACTCCTCATCAGTCTCACTCACGCCTCAGTCTCACTCATCAGTCTCACTCACACCTTAGTCTCACTCCTCATCAGTTTCACTCCTCATCAGTCTCACTCACACCTCAGTCTCACTCCTCATCAGTCTCACTCACACCTCAGTCTCACTCCTCATCAGTCTCACTCATCAGTCTCACTCCTCATCAGCCTCACTCACACTTCAGTCTCACTCATCAGTCTCACTCCTCATCAATCTCACTCACACCTCAGTCTCACTCCTCATCAGCCTCACTTACATCTCAGTCTCACTCCTCATCAGCCTCACTCACACCTCAGTCTCATTCCTCATCAGTCTCACTCCTCATCAATCTCACTCATCAGCCTCACTCACACCTCAGTCTCACTCCTCATCAGTCTCACTCACACCCCACCCGGGCTGTTTTCCTTAGTGGGAAAAGGAGGTTCCTGTCCACTGGTTTTCTTCCTCCACTAAAGCTGTTGGTTGATACTTCTGAATATGATATAAAAATATTTTGCCCTGCTCCTACTCAAAATATGTTCAGTCAAATAAAAATAAATTAAAACATGTTATTATGGGACAAGTGGCCAGGCTGCACATTAAAACCCAGAAAAGGAAAATCTCGCCCTGAAGACTGTCATCCGCATCAGAGACTGGGAGACTGGCACGTGCTTCTCCTCCAGGCTGGCTCCTCTACCTCAGGGTGTGCGGTCTTTCTATGGAACCCAAAGCCCAGCGAGGCGGCTGCCTTGTCCTGGGTTTCACAGGGTCCTCACTGGTTATGCTCCTGTCATGCCATCCTTGACCACAAAAAATTAACTTAGCAGAAGAGAGAAACTTTAAGTGACGTAAGTCCTACCACGGAACCTATGGAATTTTACAGAGAAACAGTACCTTGACAACAGATGCACAGCCTTCCTTTTATTGGAAAAGCCAATTCACCTAACTACGTTGACACTGCTTCCCTTTCCATGTGGTCAAGAGGTAAGAAAATGACTCCTTGAAGCATGACTGTCAGTGTGTGTCAGTGTATGGGGGACTGGCAGCATCTGAGTGGTCAAGTCTCTTTCCGTCCACAGCAAGAACCCGGGAGCATGAGAAAGGGAACGCGAGTTACCTGCAGAAGGGGTTCATCCTGCACCCACATGCAGTAGAAGAGCCCCTTCCAGATTTTTAGAAGTTCTTCCTGACTGAAACCTCCTGGAAGACAAAACAGCACAAACATCTTACCTTAGAGTCTAAGCATCTCCTTGCTTCAAGTGGAGAAAGTAGGGAAGCACACCACATACATTTTAACTCTTTCTTCTGCAAATGTCTTCTTAAAAAACTGAAGCAAACATTTCCTTATTGTTACAAAAGAAACACGAATAAATGACTACCATACCTGCGGCTTTATCAGCGACAGGGCAGGGTGGCAGTGGTGGCCCGGCCTCAGTATGAGGAAGCAAATGTCATCATAACATGAAATTCACCAAGTGCCCACTTATGAAATCAGTTCCCTGTCAAGGCTCCCCCTCCACCACGTGCAGCCAGCCCACACACCAACATTTTCGCTGGTCTTGTGAAGTAAAACTGCAAATCTTACAGGAGAGGCAGGACTTGCTCAAGTCATCACAAGCCCAATAACAGGCAGCCTCACTCCCAAGAACAGAAAACCAGGCAGGCTGAGGACATGGGAGCTCCACACGGGACATCTGAAAGTCAATGGCCTAGGAAAGGGCCTGGGGACTGTGACACTGCTTTGGAACACTGTTGCAAAAATGACCCTTTAAAGGATCCTAGCAGGAGGTCCAAGTAGCTGTCTCCCAGTCACCCTCCCCGTAGTGACGTCATTTACTGTCTCATCACCAGGGTGGGCTTTGTTTTTAGCTACTCTGTGCTCTCTGGCTGCCTTCATGATCTATGACTAAGTGACCAAGTCTCGTTCAGCCTTAGATCTCCCGAGTAGACCCCAGGTGTCATAAAATATTCACTGACTGACATAAAGACTCACAAAATGATAAGGTAGGTGTACACTCTTGGGAGTTTCCAAGCCTATGGACCATGAAGTTAGAACAAACAGAATCCCCAAGTCTTGATGCGTGTTACAAATGGTCTTTATTAATGTTTTACTAGAAGGTACTAGGAGAACTCTTTTAGAGCAACAAAGTAGTATAAACTAGATGAATGCAAACAAATAAACACTTAGAATCAACGTGATCTTCAGTACTCCAAAAGCTGCTTAAAAATTAACAAAAAGACCTTTTTGATAGACCACAGTTTATTTACTGTATTCAGAGTGAGTTTACCTTAATTTACAGGTATTGATTTCCACTTTACTAAGGGGCGTTCTCCCATCAACAATATTATAATGGTACATTTTTATTTTATTTTATTTTTAGATGGAATCTTGCTCTGTCACCCAGGCTGGAGTGCAGTGGCACGATCTCAGCTCACGGCAATCCCTGCCTCAGCCTCCCAAGTAGCTGGGATTACAGGTGTGCGCCACCATGCCTGGCTAATTTTTTCTATTTTTAGTAAAGATGGGGCTTCGCCATGTTGGCCAGGCTGGTCTTGAACTCTTGACCTCAGGTGATCTGCCCACCTCGGTCTCCCAGTGCTGGGATTACTGGTGTGAGCCATGGTGCCCAGCCGACATTTTGATTCTTTTGTGATAGTTTTCTATGTAAAACCAAGATATCAGGAACTATCCTAAAACTAGTTTATTAAAGTATATTTCCTTTCAGAGTTGAAGAGATGATGTACCAACTGGTTCTCTTGCCCTCTTGTTATGAACAAGGCATGCCTGTAGGTCCTCACATGGATAATGTAAGTATGGTATGAATGATAAAGCCCACGAGAGTTGAGCCAACTGCAGTCATGAGCACGGCAATTTTTTTTTTTTGTCAGAGTGACCTGCACTTATATTTAATCATTTTCAAAGACCACATATATCCCCAGTGAATTAAAGGCTTTGGGCAAGGATCATAAATGGTTGCTAACACATTAGATGAAAAGACAGCATCCACATGTAGCAGCTCACTTGAGCTCAGGAGTCTGAGACCAGCCTGGGCAACATGGCAAAACCCAGTCTCTATAACACTGTACTCCAGCCTGGGTGACAGAGCAAGACCTTGTCTTAAATGTACACACCCCACCCCTCCAAACAAAACCAAAAAATTAGCAGGGCATGGCATGTGCCTGTAGTCCCAAGTACTCAGGTGGCTGAGGTGGGAGGATGGCTTGAGTCCAGGAATTTGAGGCTGCAGTGAGCTATAATCATGCTACCGCACTCCAACCTGGGCAGCAGAGCAACTCTGTCTCTCTAACGAACAAACAAACAAACAAAACTGATAATTGAGAAACCTGAAAATGGATGTGTGAGACCATCAACACCCAAACCTCCAAACCCACTGACCAATCACTAACACACACAGGCAATCATTCATTCGGTGCTAGAGGTGATGGCAACAGGAAGAACGAGACACCCACCTTGTGAAATATTCTTGCAAAAACCAAAGGGGGAAAAAAAAACCCACCACAAAACCCAACTGTGTCAAATCTTAACTATTAATATAGTTGATAGGAAATACAGGAAACAGAGGAACATGTTAAGTGAGACAACAGGATGCAGACAACAAAACCCCAAATATGTGAAACTCTACAAGAAATGTGACCCACGCCCTCCAACAAATAAACTACAGAAAAAAAAGATGAGTAAGAACTAATAGAATTTAAGAGTCTTAGCAGACACATTAACCAAATGCAATGGGTGGTCCTCATTTGGATCGGCCACAGAAAGCATTTATGAGATGATGAGAAAAACTAAACAGATTGGATGTTTCATGCTGTCAAGGATTTTTTTTAAGGTGTAATGATGGTACTGTGGCTATGTTAAATAAAGCATCCTTATACTATAGAGAGACATACATACTGAGGACATCTGGAAATGTAATGAGATGTCTGGGATTTGGTTCACACCAGCCTACAGGGAAGGAGGAAGTGGGCAGATGAGACAAACTGCCCAGGTCCTGATAAAAGCAGAGGCAGGCCGGGCGCGGTGGCTCAGCCTGTAATCCCAGCACTTTGGGAGGCCGAGGCGGGTGGATCATGAGGTCGAGAGATCGAGACCATCCCGGTCAACATGGTGAAACCCCGTCTCTACTAAAAATACAAAAAATTAGCTGGGCATGGTGGCGTGTGCCTGTAATCCCAGCTACTCAGGAGGCTGAGGCAGGAGAATTGCCTGAACCCAGGAGGTGGAGGTTGCAGTGAGCCGAGATCGCGCCATTGCACTCCAGCCTGGGGTAACAAGAGCGAAACTCCATCTCAAAAAAAAAAAAAAAAAAAAAAAAAGCAGAGGCAGAGCAGTGAGTGTGCTTTTTATATATTTGAAATATTCCTTAATAAAAAGAAGAAAAAAAAGGAGTGCATGAGATTACCAAAGCGACACCATGGCTGTCTTCTTTTTATTTAAAAAACTCTGCCTAGTGGGATGTGTGGGGGTCCCGGGGACAGATCCCTCATGAATGGCTTGGTGCCATTCTCCTGGGATTAAGTGAGTGCCACTCCTAGTTCCTGTGGGATCGGACTGTTAAAGAGCCTGGCACCTTCCTCCTCTATTACTCCCTCTCTTGCTATGTGACATGACAACTGTCCTCCTCCTCCAGCCAAGATTGGACGCTCCCTGAGATCCTCACCAGAAGCAAATGCTGGAGCCATGTTCATAGAGCCCGCAGAGCCCCAAGCCAAATAAACCTCTTACCATCAGGTATTCCTTTATAGCAATGCAACAGACTAAGACAATGATGTCACTGGAAAGGCAGCAGCGTTAATCAACTTAAAAACAAAAAGAGGATTTAAAGGACACAGGTTACTGTGTGGGGTCAGGCGCAGGGCAGTCCTTGTCCTTGCTGGGCAGCTACATGGTGATCTCCCTCCAAGGCTCCCCACCTTCAAGCAGGGCGCAGAGGGGCACTGTGGTCTGGGTGGGGCTTACCCCACATGGAGGGGAGGCAGCTTTAGCCAATTCAACAGAATTCCCTTGGCCGCAGGACGGGTCAAGAAAAGCCAAGTGACCCTCTGCAGACACAGATCCTCTTGCTCAGGCCTGAGGATTCTCTAGCTCTCTCCTGCTGCACTTGCTTCCAGACACCTGGTAACATAGTGGAGCCTGTCTGAGAATGGAGACAATCTTGGGGCAGCAGAGGCTGCAGTGGAGAAAAACAGGATCTGGCACCAGCGGTTGAGCTCCTCCACAAAGCTGTGCTTCACTTTCCCCTTAAAACCAGCGTGGTGTGGACGTTCTGTCGAGTTGCAGCTCAAAGAGTCCTAACTGATAAAAACACGTATTTACCGCAAAGAACATTACCACCATCAAAGTGCTATCATCACCAGCCTGGCTTGCTCCCTGCCCCCGAATCCCAGACTCCTACCCAGAGGGACTGACGCTACCTGTCTGATGTGTGTCTTTCCAGATCTTTCCTGTGCGTTTATTTACAGTGACAGTTGTGTGTGTGACCTAAATGGCATAATATTCTGTACTCTGGTCTTCCTCACCTAAAAACAGCGTATTTCTCTCCAGATGGTCTTGGAAGTATACCACGGGGTCAAGCCAACATGAGTGATGATGCGATCTGCCCAGGATCTACTGTGGACAGCCCACGCCCATGACAGGCAAAGGCACAATATGATGTGCTACAGAGGTGTTCAAAATGGAAAACAGTGGATTCTGACACAGCAACAACAGAGCCTGGACAGTAGGTAGCAAAGCGGGCTGGGTGAGTGATATGGTTTGGCTGTGTCCCCACCCAAATCTCACCTTGAATTGTAATAATCCCCCCAAAACTGGGAGGCACCGGTGGGAGATAACTGAATCATGGGGGCAGGTTTTTCTCATGCTGTTCTATGGATAGTGAATAGGTCTCATGAGATCTAACAGATTTTTTTTTTTTTTTTTTTTTTAGATGGAGTCTCCCTCTGTCACCAGGCTGGAGTGCAGTGGTGCAATCTCAAGTTCACTGCAACCTCCGCCTCCTGGGTTCAAGTGATTCTCCTGCCTCAGCCTCCTGAGCAGCTGGGACTACAGGCTCGCACCACCACGCCCAGCTAATTTTTATATTTTTAGTAGAGACGGGGTTTCACCATGTTGGCCAGGATGGTCTAGATCTCTTGACCTTGTGATCCACCTGCCTCAGCCTCCTAAAGTGCTGGGATTACAGGTGTGCGCCACCGCACCCAGCCAAGATCTAACGGTTTTATAAAGGAGTTCTCCTGCACATGCCCTCTTGCTTGCTACCATGCAAGACATACCTCTGCTTTTTTTCTCTCTTGCCCTCTGCCATGACTGTGAGGCCTGCCCAGCCACGTGGAACTTTGAGTCCATTAAACCTCTTCCCTTTATAAATTACCCAGTTTTGGGTATGTCTTTATTAGCAGCATGAGAACAGACTAACACAATGAGAAAAGATATCCTGATTTTCTCTTTTCCAGAAGGCAACAGAACGGTACTGAAACAAACTTTGCCATAGGCCCCAGCTTCCTACTGACAAGGGCCCAGTGGCGCAGAACTGTCAACTGACTTTCGAGCCTCAGTTCTATCACCTATACTATACGAAAGATTGACGGTTAGGGTCAAATCCAAGATGTGTGAAACACTCAGAATAAAGCACTATTCAGTTGGTGAGCTATTACAACAGTCTCACTCTCTCTTCCCAGAGTCTAGTTACATTCTGTTCCCTTTTAAAACATCTATTTTCCATATATGTCTGTGTGTGTGTGTTCACCTAGGAATTTAACAAGCCAACAATTTTTTGAAGTATTCAAAGTAAAAGAGAGAAATGTTTATTACTGAATAACTTTCAAAACTCTGAAAAGCTTTGAGGCTAAATTTCTTAAACTTAATACAACTATGTTTTTACAACAATACAATATAGGTTTAGTTATTTCAAAACGAATGAGGTAGGCCGGGTACAGTGGCTTAAGCCTTTAATCCCAGCACTTTGGGAGGCCGAGGTGGGCAGATCACTTTAGGTCAAGAGTTCAAGACCAGCCTGGCCAACATATAGTGAAACCCCGTCTCTAGTAAAAAAAATACAAAAATTAGCTGAGCATGGTGGTGCATGCCTATAATCCCAGCCACTTGGGAAGCTGAGGCAGCAGAATCCCTTGAACCTGGGAGGTGGAGGTTGCAGTGAGCTGAGATTGTACCACTGCACTCCAGCCTGGGCGACAGAGTAAGACTCCATCTCTCAAAAAAAAATACAACACACACACACACACATACATACACAACAAATGAGGTGAACATCAAAGTGAGACATGTAGACATGTAAAATATCAGTAAGTTTTGAAATGAGCAAATCCAACAGCTACTCTCAGCATGCAATGAGCCCGGGAGCCATTTTAGATGGGGTTAAGTGTTACACTTGAACAAACCCCAGTGTCAAAACATCCACATTTCCTATGTATTGTAACACTTGGGTAGAGAGAACCCTAACCCCATTGTTATTAAAAAAAAACTTATTTCCTCCATCATCTGCACTGAATCTAAGATACCATCAACAACAAGATGTACTGTTATTTTATATGTTGCCAAAAAGAAAGCAATGATGCAAATGAAATTGTTACCAGGTTGATTTTAGAATGCCTCCCCATTTTAGTAGATACCTTTAAAGTTGCAGAACTGATAAGATGGGCAGGGACTGTCTGTTTTCTTCACTGCCATATTCCCAGTGCCAAGAATAGCGTACATAGTAGTAGACAGTTGGCACTCTATAAATGTTTGCTAAATATATGAGTGAATGAATGAATGAACTGGGACAAATGAGTTTTATGAATGAAAGCCATGCAGAGTGATCATTTTATGACTGTGAGCACCCAACTTGAACGGTTAAAGCATGAGCGCAACATTCTGTTACTTAAAGCAATACAAACATTTCCAATTTATTTTTAAAATTACAAAGCTATCCACTTATGTTGCTGCAGAACTGCTCACGTTTCAGGAAGAGTGAAATCTCAGATTTCCTTTATAATGCCTAAGACAAGAGGCAAAAAAGTTTCAGCCTGTCAACAGGAGTCAAATATCAGGTCAAGTTATTTCCAAATTTGTGTTTTGACTGTGATGGGGCAGCGCTGTGGTCGAGACCTTGTTTTCTTGTCTGTTATCACTGTCCCTGATGGTCACAGTGCAGAGTTATTTTTTGAAGGCCCACATCCTCCATGCAATGTGGTGGTGAACAAGATGTACAAGTAACCCTGGGTGTGACAGGCACTAAGCAGACAGGACTCTGGGGCACTGGTGTAAACTGGTCTTCGGCCCCTGCATAATCCCAGCATTTGCAAATCCTGGGCCGGCTCACCAAAAAGTTTGAGCAAAAGGCTCTCTGCCTAGGCTGTCTTAGCCTCATACGTATTGCTTTCGGTCTTCTGCTCTTGTACAGGCCAGGACTTTTTATGGCTACATGTACTACCACTTCTGGCTAAGAAAACAGATGGAAGCTTACAGTGTCTCTGGAGAAGAATGACACATTAACAGATAAGTAAGATGCAATGTAGCTAAGTGCTACAACAAAGACACAATAGATGTTTCAGAACCCTAGAGGAGTAGGGCGAGATGCTAGGAAGGCTTTTTGGAGGAAGTGATATTGAACTGAATGCCAGGAGCGAAGAAGGCATGGGATTCTCTACAGAGCAAACAGGAGAAGCAGAGCCAGAGAGGTGAGAAATTGTGTGTTGTACACCAAGAACCACAAACGGTTCTGCTGAGAGAACACGAAGCTGTCACATGGGGCTTAGGAGGAAGAGCACCTGAGGACAGATCATGACTTGCAGACACTGGATTTCAAAAATATTGGTGATGTGGGATCGGGTTTGTTTAAGGAAGATGACCCTGGGCTGGTCTGTGGAGGAGATTCATGGGGGACACAAATGAAGTTAAGGCAACCAGTTAGGGAACACATAGGTGCAGAAGTTCAGGGAGATGCAAAGGGCCTAAGGCCAGAGAATTTATATCAACAGGAGGTGAAGGAGGTAGGGTTGAGGGACACTGGATGTGGGTCAGGGCAAGAGGATGAGGAAGACAGAGGAGTCCAGAACAATCCTGTGTGCCCAGCTGGAGTCTGAGTGGCTGCTGGAAACTAGCAACTAAAAGAAGAGAAACAGGTGGCAGAGGAGCAGCAAAGAGCGGGCTTTGGGAGGAAGAAAACAGGCCCTTTTTTGGCATTCTGAGTGTGAGATGCCAGGTAGAGATGCCAGGCTAGCAAGGCACATTGGATCTGCAAGCAGGAAAGGGCTGAGTCCACAATTTAGGTTTAGAAACCACCAGCATGCATGGGGTACCCCGAAGTGTGCCAGCAAACAGAATCTCTTAGAGAGATCCCTAACGGAATCAAAGTCAGGAACTTTGGTTTTCATTCCTTTTCCACCAGAGTTCCCAGGAAAGTGTATTTTCTTTTTTTGGGTAGTCGGGTGATTTCTCTTCAAAATAAAACAAACAGAATATCAGTGGTGGGGAGGTAATATCTGTTCTTTTAAACAGATTCTAATGTATTAATACCACCAGTAGCGAAATCAAACTTTATCTGGGTGCAGCATAAAATCTCTATCACACATTGTAGTTCATAGCATATGGGCTCACTCAAGAGTTTACAGAAAATACTTTTGGATCAGGTAAATGAAACCCTTCAACAGCAGTGCTATGTGATCTGGCCACTGCCTGCATCTCCAGCTTCATCTCATAACACTCTCCCCCTCCCCAGCTTATTGGTCTTTCAACCACTCCAAGGGGAGGCGAAGCTCCTTCCTGCCTCTGCATAGGCGGTTTCCGCCGATCTCTCTTCAGATCTCAGCTGAACATCGCCCCGGTGAGGCCTCCTCAGAACAGCCTATCGAGAAGAGCAACCTCCCTCACCTTTTTTTCTGTTACCTGGTTTTCTTTCTTTCCTCTCTCTCTCTTCTTCTTTTTTTTTTATTTTTTGAAGACAAACTCCTGCTCTATTGCCCAGGCTGCAGAGCAATGGCGCAATCTCGGCTCATTGCAACCTTGGCCTCTCGGGTTCAAGCAAGTCTCCCGCGTCAGCCTCCCGAGAAGCTGGGGCTACAGGCCCGTGCCACTGCGCCAGGCCAATTTTTGTATTTTTGGTAAAGACAAGGTTTCACCAAGTTGGCCAAGCTGGTCTCGAACCCCTAACCTCAGGTGATCCGCTCGCCTCGGCCTCCCAAAGTGCTGGGATTACAGGTATGAGCCACCACGCCCGGCCTACTACCTGGTTTTCATTTCCTTTACTACACGAACACAAGGTCTACTTTATTTGCCTGTTTATCTCCTTGCTTTATGACTAACAGATCCTCCAGAGTAGGGATTCTGTCTTCTCTCCCCGCAGCCCCGGCACGTAAAGGTGCTGGTCAAAGAAAGGCGGGAATCCCCGACCCGACACCAGGGCAAATCAGGGCAGCCCAGTGACGCGAGATGGCAGCCAGGGAATCCGACCCATGCGGGTCTGTTCTCAGCTTCCCCGCTCACCGTGACTTTCACAAGTCTCGGAACCCCTTCAACCTGTTTCCTCAACTGTAAAAAGGCACTAGACACAGCAAGAAGCAGTTCTGGCAGCGCGGACACCGGAGCACACTCTTGGTGTCACGACGACGCGTGGACGCTGCGCTCCGCGCCGCGGCCCCGGCCCGGCCCCCGCCCCCGGCCCGCCATGCGGCGCGGCTGACCGCCGCCGTGCGCCCACCTGCCTCCCTCTGCGTCTTCACGCTGATGTACTGGCGCAGCTTCTTCACCGCCCGGTCCCGGATGCCCTTCTCACTGGACGCCAACCGCTGGGCGAACTGGATCTCGGCCGGCTGCATGGCGGGGGCCATCTCGCCCGCTGGAGCATCCCCGGCCGCGCCACCCGCAGCGCCGCCGCCGCCAACCGAGCGCCGTGAGCCGTCGCCGTCCGCCCGAGCCGCGACTGCGCAGTAGGCGGCGGCGGCGCGCGGGCTGATGGCGTCATAAAGGCGCCGGCGCTCGCGGCGCGCTCTGGGAGTGCGCGCGGCCCCCGCCCTGGCAGCCGTGGCAGCCGTGGCAGCCGCCTGTCCCGCGTCCGCGTGGCGCCGGCGCTGCCTTTCCATGGCCAGAATTGAGGCTGTCGGCGGCGAGGTTAGCCAGGGTTAGGACGTGGCCAGGAGGAGACGGACGGCCGTTTCTAAACGGCCTAGGAATTGTTGCTTGTTTGAGACACGGTCTCGCTGTGTCGCCCAGGCTGGAGTGCAGTGGCGCGATCTCGGCTCACTGCAGCCTCGACCTCCCGGACTCAAGCGATCCTCCCATCTCCACCGCCCGAGTGGCGGAGACTAGAGGCGCGCGCCAGCACGCCCGCTCATTTTTATTATCTTTTCTATAAGAGACGGGGTCTCCCTATGTTCCCCAGGCTGGCCTCAAGGCCTCGAACTCCTAGCCTCGAGCGATCCTCCCGCCTCGGCCTCTCTGAGCGCTGGGAGTGCAGGCCTGAGCCGCCGCGCCTGGCCGCGGTCCACGATCTTTAGTCCCACTTAGCACACCCCGTTCGGCCAGCAGCTCCTGCGATCTCCGTGGCACGAAGTTTTTAACCGCGGAGCCTCCGGGTCCCCCGGGGAGGGGGTTGAGACTGGGGCCTGCCGGGCGGGTGGAGGGCGTCGCTTCCGCCAGCGCCAGCGGAGGCTCGGGCAGCTCGGCGCGCCCGCACCCCGGAGCCCTCGGGGCCAGGGCAGGGGCGCCCGCGCCGGCGTCCCGAGGCCCGGAGAGCACGCGCGCGTCCCGGGGAGCCGGGCAGGGCGGGCCGCTTGGGAGCGGAAGAAATCAGCGTCGGGTTCCTGCATCGCCCGGGGCCATCCTACCGTCTGCGCCCTCGGCGGGCGTGCCGGGCACGTCAACGGCCTAGATGGCTCCGAACGCAGCGGGCGGTTATGTCGCTTGCCCGCGCTCCGTTATCTGGGCGACCTCCCGCGGTGCCTGTTGCCAAATTCAACCCTTAATATGAAAGCGCCCGAGTCCCAGCGAGGGAGGGCGGGCCGCGGAGGCGAGCCTCCGGCCGAGACTGCCCGTGTCAACGCAGTCCCCCTTAGGGCAGCACTCCTCGCCAAACGGAAAAGGACCCTTCCGATTTCTTTCTTTCTTTCTTTTTTTTTTTTTTTTTTGTATTTTTAGTAGAGACGGGGTTTCACCATGTTGACCAGGATGGTCTCGATCTCTTGACCTCGTGATCCACCCGCCTCGGCCTCCCAAAGTGCTGGGATTACAGGCGTGAGCCACCGCGCCCGGCCCCCGATTTCTTTTACTTGACGCTTGCAGCAGGGCCTGACTTTCCTTCCGCCTCGCAGATTCAGCTAGTTTAAAACCCGGCCTAGGCCGGAGGCGCCCAAGCGGGCCCTCTAGGCGGAGCGTGCTGCGCGATTCCTGCGAGGTTCGGGCCTCGCGGCTCTCCGTTCCTGATCCCCGTGGACTCCTTCCCGCGCTTTCTGGCGTGAGGGGTCAGAGGTCGCCACCGTCGCGCCAGCGGACGGAGCGCGGAGGGCGGCGGCCATGGGCGAGGCGAGCGGCGCCGCGGAGGTCAGTGGGGGCCGTGAGGGGGCCCTGGCCGTTCGCACCCCTCGGAGCTCCGCCCGTCGCGCTCGCAGACGGCCCGCTGCCGCGTGCCCGGGGCGGCCTGGAGCCCGGACAGCGCGGGCTGGGCCAGGGCGGGGTGGGGGCCTGGGCGCGAGGCGGCTTCGCCCGCAGACCCCCGCGGGGCCGGGTCTGTGGGCCTGCGCGCGGCGGGGCCCGGGGTGGGATGGACGGCCGCCCTGCCCGCCGCCCCGCGGAAGCCCCGTTTTCCCCCGGAGGCCTGCTCCGGGACTTCGCGTCAGGCTTAGAGAGAAGCCGCCCTCCCCCGAATTTTTTCAGTTTGTGTTTTGAGAGGGAGTCTGGCTCTGTCGCCAGGCTGGAGCGCGGTGGCTCGATCCCGGTTCCCCGCAACCTCCACCTCCCGGGTTCAAGGGGTGCTCCTGCCTCAGCCTCCTGAGTAGCTGGGACTGCAGGCATCTGCCACCACGCCTGGCTAGTTTTTGCAGTTTTAGTAGAGGCGGGGTTTTACCGTGTTGGCCGGGATGGGCTCGATCTCCTGACTTCGTGATCCGCCCACCTCGGCCTCCCGAAGTGCTGGGATTACGGGCGTGAGCCAGCGCGCCCGGCCCCTCCGTTGATTTTGTAGCTGTAGCTCTGATTGAGTGCGATGGAGAAGGTGCTTGGGCTCTGGGTCCAGATCCGTGTCGATTGTGCTGCGTGGAGACTCACCTAGCTCTGGTGCCTTAATTTCCATCGGGACAATCCTGGAGGCTTGGGGTGAATAGTAGACGCCATCACCAGCAGAGGGCTTGGCACACCCAGTGGGAAACCGTTACAGATGGCTTCCTTTTCCTCCTGATCAGCTTGGCGCTGCAATGATAAAAAGTTGCAGGCGTTTTCTTAGGCTTTTAGGTATACGGCTTCTGTATGCATTTTCTTTTTCGTGGTCTTGCTCTGTTGCCCGGGCTGGAGTGCAGTGGCACGATCATAGCTCACTGCAGTCTCCAACTCCTGGGCTCAGGCCTTCTTCCCACCTGAGCCTCCTGAGTGGTTGTGACTACAGGCGTCCACCACCACGCCTGGCTAGTTTTTGTAGTTTTAGTAGAGACGGATTTTCACCATATTGGTCAGGCTTGTCTCGAACTCTGACCTTGGGTGATCCACCGGCCTCGGCTCCTGTAGTGCTGGGATTACAGGCAGGAGCCACCACACTCGGCCTCTGGCCATGTTTTCATATTTTTGTCGACAGGGTCTCTCTCTGTTGCTCAGGCTGGTCTTGAACTCCTGGCCTCCCAAAGTCCTGGGATTTCAAGTGTGAGCCACCATGTCTGGCCTGTTTACACTTATTATTTTTGACATCTGCCCCCTTTTTGAAGGCTGAAGCTTCGGCTTTCAGAATGTTTATATGTACATGAAAATACAGCAGAACAGGCAGTCGGTAAAGAATGATTTGGAACAATTACGAACATAAGAGGCATGAAAGAAAAGGAAACAAGTTGACTTGGGCTGTTTTTTTTTTTTTTTTTTTTTTGGTCATATGAAGAGAAATATAATAAGATCTGCTTGTTCTTTTAGCACATGGGAACCAAAGAGGAATTTGTTAAAGTCAGAAAGAAGGACCTGGAACGGCTGACAACTGAAGTGATGCAAATACGGGATTTCTTACCCAGAATACTAAATGGGGAGGTGCTGGAAAGCTTCCAGAAATTAAAGATTGTAGAAAAAAGTGAGTCTGCATTTTTAGCACTCATTGGTGGTGACTAATTTCTTCTGGTAGATTTACTTTAGGTAAATAAGTAATTGTAAACACATTTTAAGGCACTGACAGTCCTTGTGATGATATTTGGCAGAGTCTGATGACCTAGGAAAAGGGAGGTTTCCTCCACGTGGTAACTTGGACGTATGTAAGTTGGTGGTAGAGGAAAGGTTGCCAGTTTTCTGAGCATCTATTATCAGCTTCTCTCTCTGTATTCACTGGCAGAAGAATTTTATACTTTTGATAACTGTAAAGCTCTGCTCTGAAAACTAAGTACTCACTGTGTAAGTTAAGGAACTTGCCATATGGAAACCTTGCATGGAGTTAACTTGTCAGTAGAGATAGCTGGAAGTATGTTCACTTATCTTTAGGTGGATGGGCGAGTCACTTTCTAGAACTGATTGAAGTTTAGGCTTTCTGGTGTCCATTTAGACTTTTGAGATTTGAGCGGAGCCATTACGTTTAATACCAATTTAGGAGACTATTGAAGTTCCTGGAGATATTCTGAGATTGACTCAGCACTTGGTTGATTGAGACTGAATCATGGTTAAATCAGCCTTTGATGGTTAAGGCCAATTCACAGCATGACATTTGGTTGTTAGTCCTCACTGTGTGTCCTCTAGAAAAGGTGCCTCCGGAGGACCCAGGCAGGCCTAACACTCGTGCATACAAGAAGGTAGCTCACCCCAAGAACATGAGTTTCTGGCTTGTGCAAATGTATCTGGTGAGTAGGCCAGCCATATCCAGTTAGAAGGGATAGTTCCTGTGGTTACCACAGTGCCTTGTCCTGTTTACATTGTCTTTGGTTTCCTCAGATCTGTTCTTCTCTGCCTTGTGGTGTGCTCTGGGAGGTGAATCCCTGCAGACAGGGTTCCCCCAGTTACCTTGCTGGCTGCTGAGGGGGTCACCAATGGAAGGTATTGCTGGTGGAGAGAGAGGTCGGGTTGGGGTGTTTCTTGCTGTTCCCTCCCTGCTTTGCTGCTGTTGTGTGGCAGTAGCTGCATCCCTCCACAACAAAGACTCCTGCCTGGAGGCCTCTTCCACTGTCCTAGCTCTTGCTGGACTCCAGTAATGCTGTTTTCTCCCCCTGCTTCTTTGGCTGTAGGGCTGTTGCTAGTCCCTGGGTGCCTCACTGTCCCTTGATGGTTCCCTTATCTCTGTTCTCCCCTCTGTAAGTGGTCCTTTCAGAAAAGTCTCAACATCTGTGTTGATTTGTCTTTCCTACTGGGACCCTGCCAGATATGTGCCATGTCATTGGTTGCCAAAATGCCAGGTCATCGACTTTCTGAGATGAGTCGTTCCTTGTGCATTTATCTTCAGGAAAGGAAGGTAACTAGACATACACCGGTGGCAGTATATGGCAGCCTGCTGGTTGGTTATACTCTCACTGTAAATGAATAAACTGACATTCTAAAAAATACGTCGGGGTCTCATGAGTTAGTTAACATGAGTGCCTTTAGTGATTATTCTCCCTGCCAAAACCAAACCCAGTGAGGGCCACAAACAAATCTGTGGTCACTTGATCATAGTCAGACTTTGGGAGATCTTCTCTTACAGTCCCGGCCTCCCCCAGGCTATAGAGTCACCTCTTTTTCCATGATCTCTCTGGTGAGTCTTGCTTATTCTTTGCTGATTTATCTTTCTCTGCTTAGCAACCTTCAAATAGTGTTTGAGGCTCAGGCCTAGACACCTTCCTGCCTCACCCCATGGCTTCTCCCTAGGCAGCCTCATGCATACTCATAGCTTCAGCTACCATCTTGATGCCAGTGGCTACTGGATTTAATCTCTAGCCCAGAACTCTCCCCAAGCTTAAGGCCCTGTGTCTGACTCCTGCTTGGCATTTCTTCCTGTTTGTTTCATGATTATTTCAAATTCTAAATGTTTGCCCTACCCTAATTAGTAGTCTGAGGTCATCAGGAACAGACCCACAGTCTGACAGAGTGAGGTTTATGGCTCTTTGCAATGAGGAAGACCACACCAGAACACCAGAGAAACTGTAGGGCTTCTCAGCGAAGAAGAGGATAGAGCTGTTGCAGGACGTGGAGGCGAGTGGTGTTAGGTGAAGCATAAATGAAGCAAAATAGAGCTGGGTCTAAAGGGACCAATATCAAGTCTGAAGTGGCCTGTGAAGTGGACCCAGGTCCTGTTTCCTGGAAAACTACAGAGTTCAAATAGATGTGAAACATTGTTCTAGAAATCCCTTACTTGAAGCTCTGCAATCGCTGGAAATAGTCTCTTCTGTGTCACGGTGACTTAGATCCTGCAGGCAAGAGTGGGATCTTCTTACTGGTATAATTTCAAACAACAAAATTTCTGACAGTCTGGAATTTTACAGAGTAAGCTTCTCAGTGCGTAAGAAGTTAGCAGTCACTCAAAGAAGAGATCATTATGACACTTTACAGTTGCTTGTCTTTGGGAGACATATTTTCTGTTAACTTGGCACCTGACTTTATCTGTGTTTGTTATTCCAACCTGAAAAAAGTCAGGACAGACTTCTGCTTTCTCAGTGCAAGCTAATATTTACTTCCTCTTGTCATATCTGCCTCATGCTATCCATCCCCTACCCCTGTCTTACACTGGCCTGCCTCAGTCTCCCCAGAGCACCACCACCCAGACTAGACACCTGGGAGGCTTCCTTGTTATCTGTCTCTCTACCTCGCTACTATCCACGAAACCTGTCTGGTGGTGCATCTTATGAGTGTGACTTCATGGGTGCATCCTGCATCATCATCCTGCGTCCGTCTCCACTGCTGTGCTCTGCCTCCTCCTGGGAGCCTCTGCACTGTCACTCTGCAGTCCCTTGGACACACTGTAGCCCGAGCAGTTTGTGGCAGTTCAGTCTGATTATGCCATTCACCTGTGTAAGTCTCAGAAGCTTCTCTGCTTTTAGTATAAGAACAAAAAACTAAAAGCCTCACCCAAACTCACTGTTACCCAGAACCCTAAATAAAACCGTAATGTGGCTTAAAAGGCTTTGTGTTATTGGGCACAGCCTCGGCCCAGCATCACTGCCCAATCTGATTACCTAGACCTGATCCATCTTCCTTTTAGATGTTGTCATGGTACCGTGTGCTTCTTCAGACAACATGGTTTTATTTTATTTCCATTTTACTTTGTAAGTTGGTGGACGTGCAGGGCCCTTGTTGCCTATCATTCTCTCCCTGGCTGACTTTGATCTTGAGGAACTACCCTACTGCCTCTGTATGCCCTTTCTTTCTCTCTCTTTTTTTTTTTTTTTTTTTTTTTTTGAGGCCGAGTCTTGCTCTGTCATCTGGGTCGGAGTGCAGTTGCATGATCTCCATTCACTGCAACCTCTGCCTCCTGTGTTCAAGCAGTTCTCCTGCCTCAGCCTCCCAAGTAGCTGGGATTACAGGCATGTGCCACCATACCCAGCTAATTTTTTTTATTTTTGGTGGAGACTAGGTTTCACCATGCTGGCCAGGCCAGTCTCAAACTCCTGACCTCAGGTGATCCTCCCGCCTGGGCCTCTGAAAGTGCTGGGATTACAGGCATGAGCCACCGTGCCTGGCCTGCATGCCCTTTCTAGTTTGCAGTGCTATGTCATGAAACTCAAATGTGCTCCAGGAAGTGTGGTATTAAGAGAAAGGAAGGATCAGAGTAGACTGGGCTGGTTTCAGGAGGGTTACCGTGGCCTTCTAAGGCATCTTTTGTCTAATTTTGGCTCTTGAGTTCTTACCATTTGGGCAACATGAAGAAAAATAAAAATTCTTTTTACAAGGCCTAGATCTGATAGCCCTCCCCAAGCTCTGCCAGGAGCCTGTCTTCCTAATCACGTTGGACATGGCTCTAAGAATAGAGCTCCACAGAGGAAATCCACGATTGCACAATATGTCAAACGGCAGCAAGAGCCATTGTACATACTGATTCTTTTACTCTCCCTTTATCCCTATGGTCTGGTATCCACCCTTTTGCTTCTTCTAGAGGTTAATATGTGCTTTCAGTCTTTTTTTTTTTTTTTTGAAACGGAGTCTTGCTGTGCCACCCAGGCTGGAGTAGAGTGGTGTGATCTTGGCTCACTGCAGCCTTCGCCTCCTGGGTTCAAGTGATTCTTCTGCCTCAGCCTCCCAAGTAGCTGGGACTACAGGTGCCCACCACTATGCCTGGCTAATTTTTGTATTTTTAGTAGAGATGGGGTTTCACCGCATTGGCCAGGCTGGTCTTGAGCTCCTGACCTTGTGATCTGCCTGCCTCATCCTCCTAAAGTGCTGGGATTACAGGTGTGAGTCACTGTGTGCTTCCAATCTTAAGCAGTGACAAAAGGCAACCTGAAGGTAGAAACGAGTGGAGGCAGGGAAGGAGTAGGCCTGATTGGAGAAGTTTGTTTTTAGAGTCTGGGTTTAGTTCTGTTTAGATGGGTTCAGGCTATAAAGTAACTTGTAAGCCAGCTAGAGGACTTGAGGTGATATATCAAGTAGTGAATGGGGCTTCATCCCGATTCTAGCACAGCCTCTGCCTTTGGGAGGACTGGGCAAGGTAAGTGGTGCTTTGGAATGATACTGACGAAGGTGCTGCCTGTGAGTCTTGGGGAGTTGGTGAGCACTGGGGAGAGCCATGATCAATAAGGAGGAGAAGGGGAGATTTTCCAGGCCAGGGTGGTAGTGTGTGTGAAAGTCACGTGGGACTGAACAGGACTGATTGCAGGTTCGTCAGCTAGTGTTTGATTGCTGTGTGGTATAAGGATTGGGGTATAGCAGAATTAGGGATAGTAAATGAGCAGTTTATAGAAGACAGTCCTAGATGGTTTTTAATTTGAGATGAGAATCAACTGGAAATTACCACATGGAAGTAACAATGAAAATGATGTTTTCAGGGTCATGTTTTTTCTATGTGAATGTAGGGTAGGTCTGAGGGAATTGGTGAAAGATGACTTCGAGCATTTGTCAAGGAAAGTCTGGGCTTCATTAGTGTGTGGGACTGCGGCCGTATGGATGGAATGGAAGGGACGTTTG